CGTCGGGGCGGGCTGGGTGGGGGGCGTGGTTTTTCGCGCTCGGGGTTGGGGGGTGGTGTCTTTCGTGGGGGGGGGGGGGGGGGGGGGGGGGGGGTTCAAAATTTCTACCCCTAAACACTTCAACACTCCTTTCAGATCGTGTTTCACAATAGATATTACAAAAGAACGACTGAGACATAAATTGAGAACAGTTGCTTTCCCAGATATTTTTGAAATTCAGGCAATCAACAGTTTTATCTGATCGCACATTTTACTATAGCGGTGCTATCGCTTGAAGAACCTAAAATCAATGTCCAGCACGTCGAAAAATATATCATCGAATACATACTTATCTATCAAGACCGATGCGTCTACAGGTACATCGACAAGTGTACGAAAACATCCCATAATACAAAATTTCCTTGTTGTTTGGCTCGATCCGAAAATCGATGAATCAGTGGATGACTTCCGCAATTCGCTTGCGAAACTTCGTGGTATCGCCAAATCCATCAATACGTTTACGAATGCGGTTCATTGTATTGAATACCTGAAAAAAGCAAGCAATGGTGGAGCTCTATTGATCATCGCCGGTTCCATTGGACAAAAGATCGTACCTGAAATCCACGCTTTGTCTCAATTAAAGTCGATTTTTGTCTTCTGTCGCAAAAAAGCCTATCATGAGCAATGGGCGAAAGATTGGTCGAAAATAAGTGGTGTTTACACAAAAATTACTCCACTTTGTCAAGCTATGCAGGAAGAAGTCGAAAAGTGTGCCTACACCACCACTGCGATGACCTTTGATATGTCGAATGCACTGCACAAAAAGTCTTCAATAACCGACTTACCACGATCAATGACTAATATCAGTAACAAGAGCAAGCATCAAACACCGCTCGTGAATTCTCGTTTGAGCGCCAGCCAAAACAGTGAACAACTTGAGTGGACCCTATTTGATTTAGACGCCTGCATGTATATTCAGAATATTCAGCGTGAAATTTTCTCAATTAGTAAGAATGCCTTACAAATAGCTATGGATGCAATGAGAAAAGCAGATGATCTACGGAATCTAACACATGTTGTTTGGAAATTATTGGAGGCAGCCGAACAGAAAAACGATATTACATATTTCATTCATGCTTACACTCATGAAGGGGTTTTTTATAAATTACTGAATCGTAAATTGGCTCAACAAGACTTTAAAAATTTCACCGGCGCAAGCTTAGAAGAGAAGGTTCAGCAAATTGTTGGAGGTATTTTTCAGAATTTAAAAATCGCGGTGAATGCAGCAATGGCAGTACAAGCAGGACAGCAAGTGTCGTTTCAAGGCGGTGACGAAAGGAACTGGGCCAAGCTGTATTTAAGATCAGTTTATGCACTTCTCTTAGCTCCAAATCCAACAGTTCGATTTCAGGGTACAACGTATCGTGGCATGTGGATTTCACAAGATAAGTTACAACACTATTGTGATGCACAGTTCGTCTGCTACAAAGGCGTTGCTTCAACCTCGGCAGTCCGCGAAATCGCTCAATGTTTTATTGATAATACGCATGATGCCTCAAAAAACATGATATCTGTCATGTTCATACATGAAGTTACTTTGATTTCTTCACTCTTTGCACTTAAAATAAGCGAGTTTTCCAAGTTTCCTCATGAAAAGGAAGTACTTCTATTGCCTGGAATTTTATTTCGCATTGCTGACGTGCGTTCTATCTCAAAAAACGCGGCAGAAATCGAGCTACGATGTTCACTTGAAGACACGGAGACCATGATGTCAAATGCTTTTGCCTCGCTTCTGGCTCTTGATTCATAAAGACGTTATATAACATGAATTACTTGTTCGAGTTTGAAATTATTCAAGTTATCTGTATTTATCAAAAAAAAAATATAAAGATTCGCACAGTAAAACCGTAAATTACTCATTTTATTAGAATTGTAGAAATGGCAACTATGAAAAGGTGTCCTTTATTGTGAATGTTGTTAAAATCATCTGCAGATGACAGAGTTGAGCCACGGATGCACACGTGATGGATGCGACTGTATGCGAGTTGCATGTATTAAAGGTGTGGGTGTCAGTGTGCTGATAGACATCTACAACCCACACCCGCACCCATCATAACCTCAATTTCAAGACAAAGTCTTTTGATGAAAGCTATTAAGTCATATTTAATGTTAAAATCTGATAGATTATTGAGAATGCTTTTTAATCGTTGAAATTCTTTATTGAAAATCTCAATATATTGATCGGTAAAATCATTATTTTTATCACAATGAATCAGTTGTTTCATCATTTGCTTCAATTTACTATCGAGATTACTAGCAAATGTGACCACAAATGATGAGAGTTTGTGACGAACTTCATTGGCTACATGACGAATCTTTTTCATTGATTCACGTTCCCATTCATCAATTGGTTTCAGGGGTGTGGGTGTGGGTGTGGGTGTGGGTTTGGGTGTGGG